TGAGAAATTTCTTTAAAGAAAACGCGTCGCCCATTTTCGATGAAAAATTAGGAATTCGTGATATTCGTGCACAAAGCACATTCCCGCGTTCCCAAGAGTTAATACCGACGACATCGATTACATTATGTGTATTGGGAATCAATAACGAGGTGCACCGCCAGCATCGATCGCGATACGACTCGTCGCGATAGTGATTTGAGTCTTTACGTTAGGGTGACGTCAAAGTTGGAATATACGCGTTCCACCGTGTAACCGATGTAACAACGTAGCAAATTGGACGTGCAGAAGACGCTGTAACGTTAACATGTATCCGTTGTATAGTAGCGTAAGATATATTTTGCAATGCAGAACATCTTTACGTAAGATATTTTTCCCTAAACTTCCGCTTTATATTCTCCGATGGTTTTTTTTTAACGATCTCTCGTTTCTCTCGTAATTTTTTACTCAAAGTAACTAAATTTATATATTTTTATTTATTAAAAAAATATGATTGTTACAAAAGTTGAATAAAAAATAATTTCAACGGAATGCCTCTTTTTCTGTGTGATTAAACAGACAAATCGCCCAGATGAGGATTAGTCAACGCCATTGGCTGTGCATAAAGAATGTCGAAACATGGTTGCGCGCTCGCGTATTGTCCTTGGGCGTAAGCGGACATAATGCCGCGTAACGCCAAGAAGAATGCGGTACTCTTGTACGAGTCTGTAACCTATTTTCCAGAGATGAAAAGAATATCCGTGACTTTGTTAAAATATCTGTAGCGTTATGCAGAGGCAAATAAATAAATTTTTTCCAAGTTTTTTGCTAATGACTGACACTTTAGTGGAATTTGTGTGTATGAATGCCATTCCATTGTGCCATCAAGGACAAAGTATACGAGACGCGTGCAACCATTATGTGATAAAACACATAGGAAATTACAAATTGAGCTCGGTGCGACCACACCCGGATTAGAAATGTCCGGTATGTTTATGTTTTCGTAATGCCCCGACCGTCGTGATCCGCTATCGCCACTATTTCACGCGACGCGAGAATAAGCTCGCACAGTTGGCAGCTCCGCCTTGTGTACCGAGTGGCAGGGTTAACTTGGACAGCAAACACGATAATAACCGGATACCTTGACTCGGCCGTGCTTCCCCCGCACGGAGAATCGACGCGCGCGTCGCGTGTCCCGCGATAAGATCGGTAATAATGCGCTGACAGGTCTCGCTATCAGAAAGTCACTCTCGGAGACTCCCGAGCAGACGTCCACATCGTGAGTTATCTTCGATTCTCGGTGCTCGACGACAAAAGCTAATTTTACATCGACGGACACTTTTATCGCGAAAGATCTTTCTTGCGAAATTTTCAAAGAAAATTTTAGAATCGTTCAATATTCAAGATAATAAACGGATAAATAACTTCATAAATTCTAATGTTAAAAGCTAACTAAGTGACCCTAAAATCATTTTTCGCGATAAGCGGTGCAGAGTTGCCCTGTCGTATGCAATCTTATCACATGCAGCCAATGCTGAAAACGCGACTTTAACACGGCCATAAATTATCATCATTATTCTTAGCAGCACTCAACAGATACCAAGGCAACGACTACTCACGCAATCAATACCAGTGCGACACACATTTCATAAAGATATCTCTCTTTTTCTCTCTTTCTTTTCCACGACAGATTTTTCAAGATTTACAAAGCGTATTCGACGTGTATGTGAAAATATCTCACGCGCTGAAGAGGCGGCATCTCGCCGCCCGCGCGCTTCGCATTCAGGGATCTTCAGGGTCGCGTTTCGCATCCCGATCAACCTTATTATCGCCGGCTTATCGGCATCGGAGGGCGAGAGCACCGAGGGGAAAGAGAAGCGTATGGATTTACGAAAGATCGGCGCGGCTCGCGGGCCACGGGCATAACGCGAAAATCGATAGCGGACTGTGCAATCCACTTAATGGCATCCCCCTAAGCAGCCCCACTGGACGTGATAAATCGCGAACGCCGCCGGTCTATTTATCGTGCGTTGCGTGCGTACGTGCGAAAGTGGAGGCGCGGAAAACGCCGTTTCGACCAGCGATACTCGATGTCGAACGAGCGAAATGTAGTAAACTCCCGCGCCTTTATGTTAATCGCGAGCGAAAACAAAAGCGAAGCTTCTACGCGCGGAATGTCTGTTCCAAGTTGCTGCTCGCAACTTGTTCGCGCTCAGGATGCTCCTTAAATTCCTATTCTCGATCATCATTGTCATTTATTATTGCTCGATTTGAGCATTAATTAATCTTCTATTTTTTAGATATCCATTCGCGCTGCAAGCGACTCCTTAATTTGGATAATTTTTAAGCTCGATAAAAAAACAGCAGTATATCAACATATCTTGGAAGTTGGTTGAATTTAAATAAAGTTGGTAAAATTAGTGAAAACTCTCGTCTATAGACTCTCGTACGCTACCTCCATTTCGAGAAACTCATATTTTGAAACGGGTTTAAAGTGCATGATAAGAGACACTTAGCAACGACGATTAAAATCCACTTCGTTGCAGGAACGCTTTTGCATTTTTTACGTCGTTTAAATTATCCTAACGCATAAGTAAATCAGCAAAGTGAAAGAAATATTTCGTGCATTTCAGCCACTCGAATGACTAACCCATATTCGCGCACATCAAATATTCGCCAAATTCACCAAAAGAACGAATATCGCATCGAGTTCGCAGAACGTTTGCAGATTTATCCTGCACTGACACACTCAGACAGAGAGAGAGAGAGAGAGAGAGAGAGAGAGAAAACGGGTTTTCTGTATACATACTGTGCGACAAAATAAATACCTGCGCGGGTCGGAGTTTCTCGCGACTGTCAAAGAACCTGACCAGCCGCGCCCTTACTCGGGTTACGCTCGTTGCCACGCAAAAACCGCGTTTCGCCGCCGCGGCGTTTAAATATCGAGGCGATATCTTGTCCGGCGTTTCGCGCTCGGCGGGTCAAAGGCGACACAAAAGCGAACCTGGCTACCTCGCTCTCTCTCTCTGCCTCGAATCTCTCTCGCAGAGTTAAATTCCACCAAATCACTCGTCGCCGTCAAGCTAACTCCGCCTCGTCTGTATTGCGAAATTAAAACAAGTTAGTTCGTAGAATCGATTTCTCTTTATAGGGAAGGCGGAGGGCCGAGGGCGGGCGTTTCAATGTTTCAACAACACTGAATATCTTGCTCGACAATAGAAACTTTCTAACGATCGCGCGCGCTTTTCGAGCTTGCGGAAATGCCTCGAAAAATGAGAAAAGCGTTGAGAGAGTTATTATCTATTGTTGCGCGCCGAGTGCTTAGTCGCATCTCTACTGTTCTAACGTATTCCCTTTCTAAGCTTCCTTCCTTTAAATAATCACTCCTAAGCCTTATAAAGTGTGGTAGCGAACACAAGGAAAATCCTAAAATTTTGTTCGGTGGTCCTGTGTGCCAGAAGGTTGCCTATTCTTCTTTCAATGAAGTTTCCGCTTTCACAAGTTACCTTTAAAATAATCCTCAAAAATCTCATAAAATATAATTCTAGTTACCGTTAAAACGAATGAACGAATGAATCTTGCATACGCTTTTCAAGTTGTTTGCGATAAAAAAGAATTTAACAAACGCAAACTTTTGCTACGTCGCGGCGTATCATATGGCTGGAAATACATTATTGTCCCGTTTCTCTCCGCTCGCGCGATTGCCGATATTCGCAGCGATATATCTACAGTGTCGGGCGCGACACACCGTGCGAAAGTGTCGACCGCCGTTCTCTCGTTGACACGCCGAAAACTTCGGCAGACGTTATTTCCGGGATTACGTTGTTCATCGACGGACACACGCAGCCGGTCTCGTCGGATTGCGGATCGCAATCCAAACCGCCGCCGAGAGAGCGATACGTATCGATCGTACACGTCCGGGATTGGTTTGCGTTTATAACAGATCGCGACGCAGACAGCGGAACATTTTGTAGTAACAGCAAGTAAACTTTCGATCGAGTATAATGGATTAAACTTTTCATCGACATCGTTATTTTATTCTAATTAACACAGAAATTATTTATTATACAATATGTTGGAATAGATGTTAGAATAGATATGTTAGAATAGATTCTATAGATAGAATAGAATGTTAGAATATCTTGTCTTGTTTGTGGAAAATTTCGAAAACTGCTATTTTAAATGTAACGGCCAGAAGATGAGAGAGAGAAAAAAAAAGAGTCAGATCACCCATTGCGCTCTATTGTTCGACTTCTGAAAGAGAGCTATAACTACAAAAGACTTGTGCCTTATGCTAACCGCCGCAAATAAGCGCATTAGTGTTGACTTTCACACGCCCGCAACGGCATCGAAATCCGTTCCAAGTTATTTAGTTACGATTCCTACGAGAGAGTTTCGGACGCGAGGCCGAGCGTAACAAGAGAGCTGCGAGGGGGTCTCGACCCGCGATATCGCCGCGATATCTCGTCAGGAAAAATTTCGCGCGCGCGCGCGCGAGCGCGAGCGAGCGTCCTCGAAAGAGGCCGCGGCGGAATCCCCCGATCGCCTGTCGCTCACGATCAGGTGGTTCGCTTGGCTCGGCTCGCGATTCAACCGACGAACGTCATCGACGCGCCGAGAGTTTGCTGTACGCGCGATATACGTCAGCGTAGATCGCGATTAGACGCGCGAGCGATTCTTCGACGTCATCAACGAGAATCTTTCGAAAAAAAAAAAAAAAAATACGTCCGTCTTCAATCGTGATCAAATGTTTGAAAATTGCCTCGTCATCGTAATTTCTGCTATCAACGTTAATAGGATAAGAAAGTTAGGAAATGATCCTTCTACTTCGTTTGCGGATAAACATTATCGTGTATGAGACATTAAAGTAATATCGCGCGGTTGATCATTAGCTAAGGGTGTCCCTCGGCGCGCGAACGAGGATGGGAGTAAAGGGAGGAGACAACGCTCGGCGGCGTATGTGGGGATGGAGGTTGCTCAACTTGTCATCGCTTTTATCATGACGTCATTGAAAATCACTTTACCTCGAGACCACGAAACGAAACACTCCCGCTGCTGCTGCTACTGCTGCTGCTGTTGTTGCTGTCGTTGTTCGCACGTAGTCGCAGCGCGGTGAGAGTGAGAGCTTGAGCGCGAAATAGAGAGAGTTATCGAGCTAAAGAGAGACGAGGGGGGAACGAAAGACGGTCCTCGCGCACGTAGGCCCCCGCACTTCCACCGCGGCCTGGCAGTGGCACGTCGCCGTTCTTTGTTCTTCCTTCCTGCTCACGGCGACTCCTCTCGATCCACCGCTGCTATTTGGCCCCCGCGCGCTTCTCTCCCGTATGTCTCTCTTCTCTTCGCTTCTGTTGCCCCTTCTCGCGGGTTAGCCGCGCGCGCTAACGGCTAACGGAATTAATCCGGAGCACACGAGTTCACGAGATTTCAAGTCCACCGCACGCAATATATATTATGCGTGTATATCTGAGTATATGTACGTATATGTATATTTCTATCTATATGTCACCAGATATACAATGCACACTGTGTATCGTCGCGGGCGACAACGTCAGATGCGCTACCGTTAACCAGTGCTATCGCTCACACGTGAACCGCGCGGTACAACACACACACATACACACGTCTATATACGCGCGTAGTAGATGTACGTAACTTGTATTTATATATGTATATATATATATATATATATATGTGTGTTCGTTGAAAACTCGATGTACTCGCGCGAGACCGTCTCCGTCTCCGCTATAGGTGCACACACACGCCGAACGCGATCTTCGCTCGGCTCCTATCCACCTGACATCCGTACGCAAACGAGGCCCGAGCACAACTGAGCAGACTGAGTGTACGCGTATGCGAGCCGACACCGGCCGAGCGTGTGGCCCACGACGCGGAGATACCCGACCGAGCCGTCGTACCGCTACGACACGAGTTCCGAGTCGTTTTCCCCTCCGCGCTCTGACCCCTTCCTCCTCCGTTCTCCTTCCCATCCGTACCCGAGCGTTCGGGGCCATCTATATGCTTCGGTCTCTCCTACTACGACCATCGGTGTACACGTACATACAGACACACGGCTCTCCTCCACTACTACCTCCTCCTACTTCTCCTCCTCCTCCTCCTCCTTCCATCAGCGCTTAAAGCCGTACGCGTCCTTCAGTACGGAGAGATACAACGCGATTTTTCCTCGACGCAAACTGCGACAAGTGAGCGATGCGATGGAAAATAATACTTGTATTTCGCTAGATTGATTTATATTAAAAGTTTTATGCGCTTTCTTTGTTAATACGGATGTTGCAAAATTGAATCGTTCCGCCTCGGATTGATCTTTTTTCATTCCGTGCGACGATCGCGCGGAGCGTGTCGGATAATCGACTGAAAGAGACTTATTTTGGGACGGAACGAGACGCCACGGTCTTGTTGCGATATTAGCCAGACTCCCCCCCCCCCCCAATTCGAACGCATCGCCGCTGCGCGATTGAAATTTTTTCGCGATAACATTCGCACAAAGAGAAACTGACTGGCTTACTTCGGATAGACCATTGCTCCAGATCTTTATCTTCTGAGAAACGAATGTAAAAGTATTCGGTACGATTAACATAACTATACACAGATGTTCTATTACCGGTTCTATTTTAATAGCTAAAATAGAATCTTTTCTGTACAAATACTGCTTTGAATAACTTTTCTCAAAACTACTGATCCGATCATGATAAACGAAACGTCCTGTTATCTAAACAAAATGCCATGTGCATTTAAATAAATTTTACTTTCCAAGTTGTTACATCACAAGTATTAATATATCCAGATATTTCACTGTCGTGTGTGTCGTAATACAGAGTCTCGAACCGCGCATCTAAAGAAAAGTATATACGACGTATCATCGCGTAACTGTGAAATGATACTTTAGCTATGATCGAGAAGGACAGCGCGTAAAACTCGAAGCGCGCTCGAAGAGTCTTTTATTGACTTTCGGAGAGAGTTCCGGAGATTAATAGAGGAGAGAGAAAGAGAGAGAGTGGAGGAGGGAGAACGTATCTAGTGCGCTCGACCACCGCGCGGTCGACGCTCCAACGATTCGATGTTCCAGTATTTGATTGTTGCTCTGGAGCGGCGAACCATTCAAAGTGTATCCCGCATGTTTCGGAGGGTCAAAGAGGTTCCGCACATTTTCATGAAAATTACCTACCGATACCTCCGTAGCTGCCTTACATATTGCACGGGGTTATCTTCGACGCGCGCGTTCACGAGCACCGCGCCTCCGCCACAGCTGACTCGAAATTATTCATTGATAAGCGTCAGCGGCGTCAAGCACTTTCGCAGAACAGCTTGCTTCCACGCGATACATTAAGCGTGTCGAATTTATTTATTTCGAGAAATAGTTTTCGCTTTTAATTAATAATTTAGAAATATTTGTGTTTGATTTTGTTCTCTTATTATTATAATTGAATACGTTATAATATTAACAATTGGACACTAAATGACTGACAAAATGGTAATATATTTTTAATACACAAAGCAGAAATTTATTTATTCGTTTGCTTTGTACAGAAAAAAGCTTTGCGTATCATCGAAATCTGGGTTACAATTTTTCTTTATTTATTCCCAAGCAAAATTAACTCTCTCCGATATTTCATATATCAGATAAATTCGACTCTACAATACAAAAGTAATGAAAATGTAATACAAATGTTAATGATTAATTAACATTATTTTAAAATTAATAAGACTGCACTATATAATTATTACATCAATACCTTTGAACGCAATAAAATAAATAATGTTATCGCAACATTATGATAAAACTGACCAACTGGAAGCGACGCCTGTTTATCGTTAGAAAATAATTTCGGAGCGGGAGGACAGGCCGGGTACGTGTTTCGCGATCGAGGGTGGATGAGAAGGGTCGGATTAAAATGAAGCGTTAAGTCGCGTGGGGGTGAGCGTTCCGCTTAATGGGCAAGGCAGCGGAATACGTTACGCGATACGCGTTGCGTTTGCGTAAAGGATACGCGTCAGCGAAGACACCCACGTGACCGCGGTAGCGCGCGTGCACGTACGTAGGCGTAAAAAATCGCGGAGGTGTACTTTGTTAACCAACACCTGTGTCGCGTTCACCGATGAACTTTTCGGTGCGTAGGAAATGTCGTCGTTGTAGCTGTCGCATTATCGCTGCGCGTGCTGCTCTTTTGATTAAAACTGAAAATGCGCTCGCAACGGGATACATTGTAAATTACATGTCGCGTCGACATATACACGTATGCGCTTAATATCATCATCATCATCATCATCATCATCATCATCATCATCATCATCATCATCATGAAGCATTAAGTAGACAACTTGACGTACGTTTTTGGAAATTAGAGATAAAAAAAACTGCGAGTGTCAAATGTAAAAAAATCTTCGAAAAAGCTGTTTTTTCATTTTTTTTTTTTTTAAATAGTAACAATTGCAGTAATTGTTAATGCGCACAGAAATGTTGGAAAAGATATTTTATATATATGTTTTGCCTTCATAAATGCGAGGTCAGACTCAGCAGGTGCGCTAGCTTTCTATTGGCCTTATTTCGTTACAGCAATTTGCGTTCTCGTTACCGTAATCCTATTTCCATCTTGTACGAAATATTCTATTTTATTATAGACGATTTGTCGTGTGTGGGATAGTATTTCTCGCGATTATCCGGTTTCCCAAATCGTTATTGCGCGGTTATCGATCACCGCGTGGATTACAACTAACATCCCGAATTAATTTCGGTACGCTTATTATTAAACCACTGGCTGCGGCACGGTTTATTCGAAGCTCATTCGCGGTAGCATTGAGCAACTTGATTTAAATTACTATATTAACTCTATGTTTTGCAACGTCCTAGAATTTATGACAATATTGCAGTTTTCAATGATGAGTTCCTGAATCAATTTAGAATTCAGTTCTTTTTCTATCGAAAAAAAAATGCAAAATGCCATCTGTTTCCGGTATTTTTCAGTATTCGACATTAAAAATCTTGATTTTTAATTTTCAAGATTCTCAAATCGAAGTCTAGTTAAAATTTAGCGAAAGATACAAAATTATTAAAACATCGATATACACCGCCGATGATATGAGCGATAACTATACAAGGATCACCTGGGTCACCGGATATAGCGGCACAAAATAAAAGGAAGTCGGCCGATAACCCCTGCTCGATGTAAATTACACGAGCGCCCAGACCTTCCGCTTGCTGTAATCCCGCAGTAATGGCAGTTTGAAAACCTCATACAACTTAAAAAATTTAATGACGCGGAATCTTGCACGATTCCGTTTTATAGATGCTGAATTTTATCTGAACGTGGAATTTGCATTACTTCTCCACTCGAAATCGAACAAAAAATTTCCGAAAACAAATTTTATATATATACGAACTTAGTACGTGAAGTGTTTTCATCGTGTCCTGTAAACATTTTCGAAATGTCAAAGCGGAAACGTTGAAGTATTTTTCAATGCGACATTACTGTTACGAAGTTAATCGAATCTATTGAAACGCGGATTCGTTCGAATAACGTTATCCGAATCTGTCCGCTACCCCACGATCTAGCATAATTTAATGAGAGATCCGGCGAGAGTCGAGGGGGAACGAGAGAGGGTTGAGAGCACTCTAGCAACGAGATGTCCCGCGCGTGTATTTCTCCGCTTCCTCCTGCAGCGAAGAAACTTAGAGAGTGCGGATCTTAAGAATACAGAAATCTCTTACCTTCTCGATTTGCCTCGCGGGGCGGGGAGAGGCGAGATGCAAGATGAAATAGAATACACCTGGCCAAAGAGCTGGAGACTAAATGAAACATGCTCACTTATCTTGGACAAGCGCTCGCAAAACTAAACAGATCCTGCTAAAATTCTAATACGGAGTGCCTCGCAAAACTTTTCTACATTTCACTGAATATTTTGA